ATATATATATATATATATATATTTCTAAAATATATATATATATATATAAAAGAATACAGGCCAGGTGTGGTGGCTCACACCTGTAATCCCAGCACTTTAGGAGGGCAAGGTCAGGAGTTCAAGACCAGCCTGACCAACATGGAGAAACCCCATCTCTACTAAAAATATAAAATTATCCAGGCATGGTGGCACATGCCTGTAATCCCAGCTACTCAGGAGGCTGAGGCAGGAAAATCGCTTGAACCCAAGAGACAGAGGTTGCAATGAACCGAGATTACACTCGGCTCATTGCAGTCCAGCCTAGGCAACACGAATGAAACTCGGTCACACAAAAAAAAGAATATACTGTGATGCTGGGTTCGGTGGCTCACACCTATAATCCCAGCACTTTGGGAGGCCGAGACGGGTGGATCACTTAAGGTCAGGAGTTTGAGACCAGCCTGACCAACATAGTGAAACCTTGTCTCTACTAAAAAGACAAAATTAGCCAGGCGTAGTGATGCACACCTGTAATCTCAGCTACTTGGGAGGCTGAGGCAGGATAATCATTTGAACCCGGGAGACAGAGGTTGCAGTGAGCCAAGATCACACCACTGCATTCCAGTCTAGGCAACAAGAGCAAAACTACATCTCAAAAAAAAAAAAAAAAAAAAGAAAATACTGTGGTAAGAATTTTTTTTGGAAAGTAAGGAAGAGATCTAAGTATGACACAAATTCCAGAAACTAAAAAGCAAATGTCAACAAATCTGATTACATAAAAATAAAAAATCTGACTGGCTGCGGTGGCTCACGCCTATAATCCCAGCACTTTGGGAGGAAGGAGCAGGCGGATCACCTGAGGTCAGGAGTTCAAGACCAGCCTGACCAACATGGTGAAACCCTGTCTTTACTAAAAATATAAAATTACAAAAACAAAATAAAATGAAAAAAATAATAAAAATATAAAAATTAGCTGTGCATGGTGGTGCATGCCTATAATCCTAACTACTCAGGAAGCTGAGGCAGGGGAATCACTTGAACCCTGGAGGCGGAGGTTGCAGTGAGCCAAGATTCTGTCATTCCATTCCAGCCTGGGTGACGGACTAAGACTCCATCTCAAAAATAAAAATAAATAAAATTTTTTTACTCACCCAAAACCAACATAAGCAATATCAAAAGGCACAATGGGGAAAAGTTATCTGTAACTCATATTACAGACTAATCAACACAAAAAAAGTCAACATTTCAATATAAAAGGGAGTAAGGAATATAGATAACTCCCAGAAAAGGAAATAAAAATAGCCCTTAGTAAATGTTAAGATGTTGAACCTATTCATAATAGGAATTTAAAAATGGACTGTGTGGTGGGGTACTGTGGCTCACACCTATAATCCCAGCACTTTGGGAGGCCAAAGTGGGGGAAACACTGGAGGCCATGAGTCTAAGAACAGCCTGTGCAACATAGAGAGACCTCATCTCCAATTTAAAAAGAAAAGTAAAACTGTAACTGTGCACAGTATATATAATTAAAACTATGAAACACTGCTGAGAGAACTTAGAGATCACCTACATAAACTGAAAAATACCATGTTCATGGACCAGAAGATTCAATATTATTAAAATGTTGATTCTCTAGAAATAAAATGCAATCTACATTCATTTATAGATAAAATTGATCTTGATAAAGAGCAACCACAAAGTTGCAGCAAACATCTTTGTAGAAATTAACAAGCTGATTCTAAATCATATATGGAAATACAACAGACCTACAATAGCCAAAATAACTTTGAATAAGAACAAAATTGGGAGTCTCATGCTACCTGATTTCAAGACTTATAAAACTACCTTAAGTGTTTTCCTGGCATCAAGACAAAGCAATCAATGGAATAAAGTCCAGAAATAGAAACACATATATAAGGTCAATGGATTTTCACCATGGTGTCAAGGCAATTCAATAGTTACTTCATCTGGATGAACTTTTCAACAAATGCTGCTAGAATAGCTGGATAGCCATATGTAAAAATTAGCTGGGTGTGGTGGTGCACATCTGCGGTCCTAGCTACTCCCAGCTGCTCGGGAGGCTGGGATGGAAAGATGACTTGAGCCCAAAAGGTCGAGGCTGCAGTAAGCTATAATCGCAATACTGCCCTCCAGCCTGGGTGATTATAGATGAGTGAGACTCTCTCCCAAAAAAAAATGTTGATGTGGAGCAACTGGAGCTCTCAAACATTGCTGACAGAGATGTAAACTGCTGGTGACAAAACAGTTCAGCATTTTCTTTTAAAGATACATTTCCATATGGCATCCACCCATTCCATTCCTAAGTATTTACCCAAGTGAAATTAAAGAATACGTCCATGCAAAGTCTTATACATGAATGTTCCTGGCAGCTTTGTTCGTTAATAGCCAAAAACTGGAAACTATCTAAATATCCATCAGCAGGTGAATGGATAAACTGTGATATATCCATATAAAGGAATACTCCTCAGCAATAAAAAGGAACAAACTATTGATATACACAACATGAATGAATCTCAAAATAATTATGTTATTTTGAGATCACATCTATAATCCCAACAGCTTGGGAGGCCAAAGAGGAATGCTTGAGGCCAAGAGTTTGACACCAATGGGGGCAACATAGTAAGACACCATCTCTACAAAAACAAAAATTAGGCAGGCCCAGTGGCACATGCCTGCAGTCCCAGCTAATCAGGAGGTTGGGATGGGAGGATCCCTTGAGCCCAGAGATCTAGGCAACAGTGACCTATGATTGTGTCACTGCACTCCAGCCTAGATGACAGAATAAGACTCTGTCTCACTCACACACACACACACACACACTCTGTATGATTCCAAATAGAAGTCAAAAGCAAAAACATCTATAGTGACAGAACAGATCAGTGGCTCCCTGGAAATTAGGAGGAGTGGTGAAGAGAAAAGGGAAGGATTACAAAGACACAAGGAAACTTGTTAGAGTGATGAATATGTTCATTAAGTTGATTGTGGTGATGGCTTCACCGGTATATGCATGTCAAAACTCATCAAATGTGTATTATTTAAATATGTGGAGTATAGTGTACATTTTCGACCCAACAAATTGGCAAATATTTAAAATTAATGAAACTGTGTTGGAAAAGCTGTGAAGAAACACACTTTCATACATTATTGCTGGGAGTATAAAAAGGTACAATCTCTTATTTGGCAATATTTATCAAATTTTACAAATGTATATACACCCTTTATGCCATCAATTCCAATTTAAAGTATTTTACATTACAAATACACTCATGAGTAGGTGAAAGGATATCAACAAGGTGTATGCAAAGGAAAAGGAAACCTGAAAGTCCACGAGTAGAGGCCTGGATACATAAATTATGGTGTATTTAGACAATGGAAGACTATGCAGATTAAAAAAATGAGGAAACTACATATAAGGGTTAAAAAATGCCAACGTATACTAGTAGAAAGAACAAGGCACAGAACATTGCCTTTAATATGATACTATTTATATTTTTTAAAAAAGGGAAAGAATATATTCACATACATATATATACTATGGAGGCATAAAATAGATGGCTGGAAGATATCTTACATTAGCCATATATGCGGAAGAAACTAGTTAGCAAGGAACAAAATAAAAAAAGAGGCTTTTCATTTTACTTTTATTTGAATTTCAAACCATATAAATGTACTGCCCACACAGAAATATTAAAAGAACTCTTCTTCTCTGTCAAGCCAGATCAGCAAAGATCATTCTTAGCATTATTTTAGCCCCTTACAAGATTGGTTTTAATGAACTGCACTTTGATTTTATGTCATGGCCTCTACTGTATTTATTATATGCAAATGATAGTGATTACATCAGATGATAATTCCTTTTCAGAATTCAAGAGAAAAATTATTAGGACCTTTGAAGTTTTCTCTTTTTCTGAGACAGAGTCTCACTCTGTCACCCAGGCTGGAGTCCAGTGGAGCAAACTCACCTCACTGCAACCTCTGCCTCCTGGGTTCAAATAATTCTCCTGTCTCAGTCTCCCTAGTAGCTGGGTCTACAGGCAAGCACCACCACACCCAGCTAATTGTATTTTTAGTAGAGATGAGATTTCGCCATGTTGGCTAGGCTGGTCTGAGCTTTCATTTTTAAAACACTTATCTCTGACCCATCCTATTTTCCTTGCTTTATTTTTCTTTATGTCAACTTCTTTAGTAATTAATTGGTATTGTTTTATACTATTTGTTTTTTCAGACATGGTCTCACTCTGCAACTCAGGCTCATTGCTCACTGCAGCCTTTAACACCTGGCCTCAAGCAATCATCCTTCCTCGGCCTTCCAAAGTGCTGGGATTATAGGCATGAGCCACCATACCTGGCCTGAATTTCAATAAGTGTCATTAATCCATTCCACAATCCATCAGGTAACCAATTATATTTAATAATAATTCTAGCCGGGAATGGTGGCTCACGCCTGTAATCCCAGCACTTTGGGACGCTGAGGTGCGCGGATCACAAGGTAAGGAGTTTGAGACCAGCCCGACCAACATGGTGAAACCCCATATCTACTAAAAATACAAAAATTAGCCAGGCATGGTGGCACGTGCTTGTAGTCCCAGGTTCTCGGGAGGCTGAGGCAAGAAGAATTGCTTGTACCCGGAGGCGGAGGTTGCAGTGAGCCAAGATCATGCCACTGCACTCCAGCCTGGGCAACAAGAACAAAACTCCCTCTCAAAAAAAAAATAATAATAATAATAATTATGTCCAGGTATGGTGGCTCATGCCTGTAATTCAGCACTTTGGGAGGCCAAGGCAGGTTGATTGCTTTAAGTGTGAGACCAGCCTGGGAAACGTGGAGAAACCCTGTATCTACAAAAATTAAGAAAAATTGGCCAGGCATGGTGGCTCACGCCTGTAATCCCAGCACTTTGGGGGGCCAAGATGAAGGGATCACGAAGTCAAGAGATTGAAATCATCCTGGCCAACACAGTGAAACCCCATCTCTACCAAAAATACAAAAATTAGTTGGGCATCACAGTGGGCACCTGTAATCCCAGCTATTCGGGAGGCTGTGGCAGGAGAGTCACTTGAACCTGGGAGGTGGAGGCTGCAGTGAGCTGAGATCATGCCACTGCACTCTAGCCTGGCAACAGAGTAAGACTCCGTCTCAAAAAAAAAAATTACAAAAATTAGCTGGGCATAGTGGAGCACAACTGTCATCCTACTTACTAGGGAGAGACTGAGTTGGGAGGATCACTTGAGCCCAGGAGGTCAGGGCTGCAGTGAACCATGAGCATGCCACTGCATTCCAGCCTGGGTGACACAGCAAGACCCTGACTCAAATAATGATAAAATAATAATAATTCTGATCTAGCTACCTAAATGCGTTCAAATGGGGTTGCTATAATACTTCCAACAACAGTAATGTTACTTGTTCCAATTCACTCATATGCACCTAAATGGCCGAAAGACACATTTTTAACACCAAGCTAACTGAACTTATGGTTGTTGGCATCATTAGCCTCATCCATGTTTTACCCAGCTGCAAAATAAAACAGTGTGTTTAAACCAGGTTCTTGAAATGGCATGATTGTGCTATCTAAATGAGAAGTCATTTTAATCCCAAAGGTACACGTCTATCCTTTTTTTTTTTTTTTGAGACAGGGTCTTGCTCTGTCACCCAGGCCAGAGTGCAGTGGTATGATCATAGCTCACTGCAGCCTCGAGCTCCTGGGCTCAAGTGAGCCTCCTACCTCACCTTCCTGAGTAGCTGGGACTACAAGCGCATACCACCATACGCAGCTAATTTATTTTTTGTAGAGATAAGGTCTTGCTATGTTGCCCAGGCTGGTCTCAAACTCCTGAACTCAACCAGTCCTCCACCTTGGCCTCCCAAAGTGCTGAGTTTCCAAGCCTGAGCCAGCCAACACCTATCCTCCTTTGTCTACATCTATCAAATATCTATGAAACAGATAAACGAAACAGAAACAAAAATAAACAACACTCACCAGTAGCACAGATGGCTTTGTAAAGCAAATAAATACTCATTAAAACTTTCAATAGGCTTCTCCTGCAGCACATAGTCAATGCGTTGGCCTCCATTCAGCATCCCCACATTGATAGGCAGGACTTCTTCTTTAACTGCCACAGAGGTCTCTTCTGTGTTAACATCTAGATATGGAAGAACCATAAGAATCTAAAACCTTTTGACCCTCAGGGTTATCCTGTTAAGTTCTCCTCACCCTCCAAGTTTACCGCAGAATGAGCTACTCTCTGTTCAGAGAGCTCTCTCTCATCTTCCTCCTCTCAATCTCCTTAAAGCTCCTTCTCAGGTCACACTAATTTTGTCCAATCCCCTTTTTTGCTTTTGCTCAACACATCTCGTTACTGTACCTTTTATAGCTGGGTCATTTGCCTTGGGTTTATACTAAATGAAAGCAGGAACAGAGCTCTTTAGAAGTTGAAAATTAAAGCAAAAGAATGTGATTTTAACTGTGAAATTAGCTATGAAAAATGCCACACTATGGCATCCCTCTTATCTGGCAGCTGGTCAGTGTGTACAGTGTCACTGACCACTAGGCTTCTCTGAAGTTGATTCAGGTTCTGCTTCCGTTTCTTCTGCCGTTTCTGAAGCTTGTAAAGCAGGGTATGGAGCTCTGGTAAAAGACTTCCAGGCCATCCGCAGCGAACCTAGCAAGTTGTTCTTAAGGTCCATACTCATCCTGGTCAAGCCCTCTCTCAGTTCTGAAACACATAAAGAACATTAAATGATTTAAAGAGTCTAAGGTCCAGCACAGCTGAACAGAGTGAATGACGCCCTTTGCACTGGCCAAAAGGTCTAGAATTATCAAGTTCTATGCTCAGGCTTACCTAAGTGCATCCGCTTCCTGCCTTTATGATGTGGGATCAGCATTGGCTCAAATTCCACTCCTGGGACTACCATTGGTTCAATCCTATAGGCCACAGGATCAAACTACATAGAAAAAACAAGAGCTACATTTACCTCTGCTGAACACAGAAAGTCTGGAAACTATATAACCTTTTTTTTTTTTCTTGCTCTGTCACCCAGGCTGAAGTGCAGTGGTGCAACCATGGCTCACTACAGCTTTCAACTCCTGGGCTCAAGCAATCCTCCTGCCTCGGCCTCCCAAAGTGCTATGATTATAGGTATCAGCCACCATGCACAACCAGAACTACGTATTTTAAGCAATAATCATAAGTTCATTTTTTAAAAATGTACAGTTCTGCCCCATAACTTCCAAAGCAATACTATTATAAGTTATCTCATTGCTAGAGAATGGAATAGGAAAAAAAACCAAATTAACACAACAGAAAATCGTATGTTCTTTACCAGTAAGCCCCAATACTTAGCTAAATCACGATGGCTATACAATGCTTACAGGGTGATAAATATTGAAGAAACCTTTGCACGTTGGAAATCTGTAGTTGGGATCAATTCTTTTTAGTCCTCGGACAGTAAGGAACATTCCAATGGGAGATCCAAAGGCAAAGAATATTTCTGGTTTATAGATGAGCCGGGGGTATTTCACAGACACCTCAAAGAAAGAAAATAAAAGCATCTCTTATTAATAAAAGTTACATCTGTTTCTACCATACCAATAACAGGCGATAAAATGATCAGAGAATTAGTTACCTGCCCAATGCCAACATCCAGATAGTCATCATTTCTAGTATTACTCCTACTGCAGAACTCAGATTCTTTGGCGATGTTTGGCCCTGAAGCAGACTGCGGCATTGGTCTATTAATACCCTAAAGAATAAAAAATAGTTACGTGGAGAAACTGGACACAGCGGTATGGACCTGTAGTCCCAGCTACTCAGGATGCTGAGGGAGGAGGACTGTTTAAGCCCAAGAGTTCAAGTCCAACCTGGGCAACATAGTCTCTATTTAAAAAAAAAAAAAGTTGGCCGGGCACGGTGGCTCAAGCCTGTAATCCCAGCACTGTGGGAGGCCAAGGCGGGTGGATCACGAGGTCAAGAGATCAAGACCATCCTGGTCAACATGGTGAAACCCTGTCTCTACTAAAAATACAAAAAATTAGCTGGGCATGGGTGGCTCATGCCTATAATCCCAGCGACTCAGGAGGCTGGGGCAGGAGAATTGCCTGAACCCGGGAGGCGGAGGTTGCGGTGAGTCAAGATCGCGCCATTGCACTCTAGCCTGGGTAACAAGAGCGAAACGCCGTCTCAAAAAAAAAAAAAAAAAAAAAAGTTATGGGGAGCTACTATATAGTAAAAGCATAATCAAAGGATTATATAGTTTTCTACTGGTTTTAAAGGATGCTTGGGAAAGTTCTGAAATGGCAGCCAAAAATTCTAGGAAGATTCCCTCAGAAAACAAGATTAAACTATTCCCTGAAATTGTTAACTGACATTCCTACATGCTCTAAAATGATGAAAGTTGTATACAGCCATTTCAACAGCAGTTGAAACTTTAGGCAACAACCATTAGAGAAAACAATAGCAGGGCACTGTGGGAAGAGAATGCTGAGAATTGCTAAAGTTCTATGAAGTGCTGTGCCTCTGCAATCAAGGCAAGTAGGATGTCTATGGGTGTAGAATACAATACACAGACTGGGCCAAGAACTGAGTCTTAAAAAAGGATTGAGCCACCTGCTAAAAAGTTGGAAAAGAACTATCTCCTGGTCGGGCATGGCGGCTTATGCCTGTATTCCCAGAGCTTTGGGAGGCTGAGGTGGGCAGATCACTTGAGATCAGGAGCTCAAGACCAGCCTGGCCAACATGGCGAAACCCCATCTATACTAAAAGTACAAAAATCACCTTGGCGTGGTGTCACACACCTGTAATCCCAGCTACTCAGGAAGCTGAAGCAGGAGAATCGCTTGAACCCAGGAGGTGGAGGTTGCAAATGAGCCAAGGTTGTGCAACTGCACTCCAGCCTGGGCAACAGAACAAGACTCCGTTCCAAAAAAAAAAAAAAAAAGAACTAAGATACAAAAAGGAATTCAGTGACCAGAAAAACCAAAGTGGAAGTACTGTTACAACACAGGTAAACTTGAGAACATTATGCTAAGTGAAAGAGGGCATTCACAAAAGACCACGTATTTTATTATTCCATTTATATGGAATGTCCAAAATAAGCAAATCTGTAGAAACAGAAAGTAGATTAGTGGTTGACAGAGGCTGGGTGCAGAGCACAATGGGGAGTGACAGCAAATGGGTATGGGGTTTCCCTGAGGGACAATGGAAATATGCTGGAATTGGACGGTGGTAATAGATACATAATTCTATGAATATGCTAAAAACCATTAAATTGTAAACTTTAAAAGGGTGAATTTTATGGTATGTGATGTGAATTATGTATCAGTAAAGCTCTCATGAAAAGAAAAAAGCAAAATAAATAAATAAATGGTAGGAGAATTTCAGAGGGAAGATGATTTCTGAAGCTAATAACACTTTTAAGGATATAAAAAAAAGAAGAGCCAGGAGTGGTGATTCACGTCTGTAATCCCAGCACTCTGGGAGGCTGAGGCAGGTGGGTCACCTGAGGTCAGGAGTTCAAGACCAGCCATCCAACATAGTGAAACCCCATCTCTACTAAAAATACAAAAAGTTAGCTGGGCATGGTGGTGTGTGCCTGGAATCTCAGCTACTCAAGTGGCTGAGGCAGGAGAATCCCTTGAACCCAGGAGGTGAAGGATGCAGTGAGCCAAGATTGTTCCACTGTACTACAGCCTGGGCAACAGAATGAGACTTCATTTAATTAAAAAAAAAAAAAAAAAAGGTTACAAAAAAGAAAATGTGTTTAATTTCCAAAAAGAGAGCCAAAGATTGGCCACAGGGTGCAGTGGCTCACGTCTGTAATCCAAGCACTTTGGGAGGCCGAGGCAAGTGGATCACAAGGTCAGGAGTTTGAGACCAGCCTGGCCAATATGGTAAAACCCCATCTCTACGAAAAATAGAAAAATTAGCCGGGCGTGGTGGCAGGCACCTGTAGTTCCAGCTACTTGGGAGGCTGAGGCAGGAGAACTGCTTGAACCCAGGAGGCGGAGGGTGCAGTGAGCTGAGATCACACCACTGTACTCATCTGGGTGACAGAGTGAGATTCCATCTCAAAAAAAAAAAAAAAAAAAAAGAGAGCACCAAAGATCAATTACCAAAAAACTGCTTAGCTCCCCAGAATAAACATCTTACAAAGCCCAAGGATACACTATGGACATCAAAGAATTGCCTAGTCCAACAAGTTGTATTAGGTACATACCATTGAGTTTTTTCTGGTGCTGAAATAGTTTAATATCTTCTTTCTTGGTCCTAAAGGAATTCCCATTTCCTGAAGATCTCTGTCTGTACATAAAGCCTAGGCATAGAAAACCAAGTCTTTCTTATTTCTAGACAAAATAAAATCAATCCCATAGCATAAGAGGAATAAGACCTAGGCACTCTGTTGTTGCCTGTCTCTAGTAGTAAAATATCATTAGTAACTTCCAGAGAAAAAGACCTGTTTTATTCATGAAACAGCCTAAAAAAGAATAGAAAATATCAATACTTATCAATGTTACAATAATACAAACAACAGTATGTTATTGTTTAAAAAAAAAAAAAAACCTAGAGAAGTTGGCATTTTAAGGACTTCAGGACATAAAAATCTTCCTTAATTTCTATATTGACTTAGATGTCACATGCCTGACAAGGATTATATTCCTGCTCATGAACGAAAGCACTAAGAACATATAGCAAACACACAAGTATGGAGCAGACTAACAATCAAGATCTCAAGTGTCACTCATATTTAGGGAAGATTTCCTGCACCTTCTGACACCAGGTTAATTCTTATTACATGGTGTACTTTTCCTACTTAGTTCTTATCATAATCCAATGATGTGTGTGATTCCTCACTAAACTATAAACACTATGAGGTCAGAGATCATATCTAATGTACCAATCTATCCAATACTTGGTATAGTAAGCATTTACTAAACATCTGTTAAATGAGTGAATGTATCACAAATCAGAAAAAGGCACAACAAAAGTGGGAAAAAACAAACAAGCAGGCCGGATGTGGTGGCTCACGCCTGTAATCCCAGCACTTTGGGAGGCCGAGGCGGGCAGATAACGAGGTCAGGCGCTCAGGACCAGCCTGGCCAATATGGTAAAACCCCATCTCTACTAAAAATACAAAAATTAGCCGGGTGTGGTGGCAGGCACCTGTAATCCCAGCTACTCGGGAAGCTAAGAGGCAGGAGAATTGTTTGAACCCAGGAGGTGGACAGTACAGTAAGCCAAAGATCGTGCCATTGCACTCCAGCCAGGGCAACAGAGACTCCATCAAAAACAAGAAAATTAAAAAATAAACATGCAAATAACAGTAGAGCTCTTGAAAGTACAACAGAAAATTAGAGTTGGAATAGCTGTTTGTTTAGGTGTTTGTTCTTGCACTCATGTTTTCTGTGAGCTGTACTGGTTAGTCTGCTCCACTGCTCTATGATTATCAATATGGCCATCTAAACTTTGGACTTCCATAAAGCAAAGGTCACTTGATATGATAAAAAGCAAATAAATAACACTAAAGAACATTATTAATGATAAAGTATTTATGACTAAAAAGTGTCTAAAGGGTAGGCTTTTAGTAAACATGAAGATAAACAATAAAAATACTGAAAATGGCTTGGCATAAAGTTTTAAAAGATAATTTTTACCAGAGCTTCCTTATCTACTTTCTCCTTCTTAAAGATATCAAAGAATTCAGAGAGATGAAGTTTCTTCAAATCTTCCTCTAGTGACGGTGTATCTCCTTGATCCATTACAATACTTAGCGAATCCTAAAAATTAAATTACAAAGCTCATATTCTTGAAATTCGATTTAGTTCCCTTTATTAATACTATTTTGTGGTAAATAAATACATAGATTTCCACAGCAAAGTATCTTAACTTTAATAAATTGTCATTTATGCAAGATATAAATTAAGAGGTCCAAAGTTTTGCAACTTCAACTAAAAATATGTTTTTAAAGAAATGAGCAAAATACTCATCATCAACAAACATTTGCTGAGTTTTAAGGGAGCTCAGTGCTTAAGAAATTAGGGAAACAGTGCTTAAGTAATAAAACAGTCTAAGACAAAAGTTCTGCTCTGGAAGAACTCATGATCCAACAGGAGAAACAGCACACTTACACAAAAAGATTTTAAAAATACAAAATAATATATGCTAAGTACCAAATCAATCCTATAGGTAATACATAGTCACAGGACTTTTTACTAAAATAACATTTAATCAAGTCCCCGAATACTTTCGAACAGTTTCTATAAATCATATCAATTTGTAGCCAATTCATTCGTTCATATGCAAACTTCATTTAGTTCAATGATTCTGTAACTCTATTAACTCATCAGCAGTGCTTATTGATTGACTGATTGAGACGGAATCTCACTCTGTCGCCCAGGCTGGAGTACAGTGGCACACGATCTCGGCTCACTGAAACCTCCTTCTCCCAGGTTCAGGCAATTCTCCTGCCTCAGCCTCCCAAGTAGCTGGGATTACAGGTATGCACCACCATGACAGGCTAATTTTTGTATTTTTAGTAGAGATGGGGTTTCACCATGTTGGCCAAGCTGGTCTTGAACTCCTGACCTCAGGTGATCCGCCTGCCTTGGCCTCCCAAAGTGCTGGGATTACAGACGTGAGCCATCGCGTCCAGCCAGCAGTGCATATTCACACACAAAAAATAAGATACCTATGGTTATTTTAGAATATAACAATTATTATTTGTAGAAGCATATTACTATCTTGCTTCTATCATCCAAGAATGACAGATAATTAAAAGTCTATTAAAATGAGTTTACTACACATAATGTCGTGACACAAAACTAAACTCAGCTAAAAACAAAAAATAAATCTAAATTCTATAAATCCTTACTAAAGAAAACTACACAAAAACCTATCTGAACATCTAAATTACCTTTTCACTGTCAATATCCCCCAAAGAATCTTTCTGATTTGTTAGGATATCAAACAATATAAGCGAACCTATAAGTAAAATAGAAGAAGGGACAATTTCTAAGCATTAGCACTAAATGGCTGTCTGTTATACAAAAAAGTCATAAGCCAATTACACACATAAGCAAATCTACACAGGAAGTAGTCTTTCCTTCCAATTTACCACCACCCTTCCAACCCCTTCCAAATTTCTTGATCACAGACTATTTCAAACCTCTGAACTTCATACTGATAAAAGACACTGTGCTTCAAAAACAGGTGTCTTCAAAATGTGACAGTCTTCTCTGGTCACAGAGAATTCATTTGTTACCTAAACTATGACCAGCAATGGATACACCCCCTTTGAAATCAGGGTTCCTCTGCAGAAAAAGTGTATATATTCGGTTCATTTCAGAAGCAACCGTGTCCACAATAGTCTGACAGTAGGTGGGGCTATTGTAGAAGAAGACATCCAGAATTGTGTCATTGGTGAAGTGCCTGAGGCGGTTAATGCTGGGCAGGGTTATTCGCTGCAGATCTCTGAAAAAAGGAAAGATAATTTAAGCAGGAATTTTAAATACATTTCATAGCCACTTGCAATTTTAAGCCTTCAAGATTAAACATTTTATAAGAAACAATTGTCAAATTCATAGGAAAAAACAAAAAGAGGACAAAGGGGCCGGGCGCGGTGGCTCACACCAGCAATCCCAGCACTTCGAGGTGGTTGGATCACAAGGTCAAGAGGTTGAGACCATCCCGGCCAATGTGGTGAAGCCCTATCTCTACTAAAAATAGCAAAAATTAGCTGGGCGTGGTGGCATGTGCCTGTAATCCCAGCTACTTGGGAGGCTGAAGCAGAAGAATTGCTTGAACCAAAAAGACAGAGGTTGCAATGAGCTGAGATTGTGCCACTGCACTCCAGCCTGGCAACAGAGCAAGATTCAGTCTCAAAAAAAAAAAAAAAAGACAAAGGAATATGTTTAATCAAGCCAGAGGATGTGATCAGCAAAATTCAGAGTATAAGAAACCCTGCAAGTCAAACCCATTTCTTCTATATGTAAACTGCAAGAAAACCATAGATGTAGACAGAGAGGTAATCCAAGAAATTGAGACTTTTTTTTGAAACGGAGTCTTGCTCTGTTGTCCAGGCTAGAGGGCAGTGGCACAATCTTGGCTCACTGTAACTTCTGCCTCCCAAATTCAAGCAATTCTCCTGCCTCAGCCTCCCAAATAGCTGGGATTACAGGCAAGTGCCACCACACCCAGCTAATTTTTGTATTTTTAGTAGTGATGGGGTTTTGCCATGTTGGCCAGGCTGGTCTCAAAGTCCGGACTTCAGGTGATCCACTTGCCTCAGCCTCCCAAATTGCTGGGATTACTGGTGTGAACCACCGCACCCAGCCCAAGAGAGACTTAAAATAAAAGCCCTATCAACTAATTGCAATGTATGGACTTTATTTAGATTCTAGTTTAAAACAGGTGTTTGTAATTATATAAATAGGTATATAAAAATTATAATAGACAACTGGAAATTTGAACACTGACTAGATATTTGATGATATTAAGAAATTTTTAAGTGTGATAATAGTGTTATGGTTCTATATTTTTTAAGTCCTTTAAAATATACTGTTCAGGCTGGGAGCAGTGGCTCACACCTGTAATCCCATCACTTTGGGAGGCGGAGGCGGGCGGATCACAAGGTCAGGAGTTCGAGACCAGCCTGGCCAATATGGTGAAACCCTGTCTCTACTAAAGATACAAAAATTAGCCAAGCATGGTGGTGTACACCTGTAATACCAGCCACTCGGGAGGCTGAGGCAGGAGAATCGCTGGAACCCAGGAGGTGGAGGTTGCAATGAGCCAAGATCATGCCACTGCTCTCCAGCCTGGGCAACAGAGCGAGACTCAGTCTCTAAAATAAAATAATAAGATAAATAAAATAAAACACACACACACACAGTTCAGGCCAGGTGCTGTGGCTAACATCTGTAATCCCAGCACTTTAGGAGGCCAAGGCAGACAGATTGCTTGAGCCCAGGAGTTTAAGACCAGCTTGGCCAACATGGTAAAAGCCCATCTCTACAAAAAATAGAAATATTAGCTGGGAGTGGTGTCACGTGCCTACAGTCCCAGTAGTATTTGGGAGGCTGAGGTAGGAGAATCACCTGAGCCCGAGGAGGTCCAGGCTGCAATGAGCTGTGATCATACCATGTCACTACAACCAAAAAAAAAAAAAAAAAAGGTACAAACTGAAACATTTACAGATGAAATTACGGGATGTCTAAGATAAAAATAATATGGTGATGAAGGGGCAGTAGATAGGGTATGAAGATATGGATGAGGGAGAACCAGCCATGTGTTGAGGCTTGTTGGGGCTGGGTAATCAGTACACAAGGATTCATCATATATATTACTTCTGTCAACAAAATTCTCTCTAATAAAAAAAAGTTTTCTAAAAAGACAAAACAAGAAATATAAAAGGTTTTTCCTAGAATTCTCAGCAGTAAGGTTTTTTTGATCACATGTCAAAAGATAAAGAGATCAGCTACCTCCATCTCTCAATGTACAATTTCTAAAAGCAGAAAAAGGTGTGAATACCATGTGCTAAAAGCAAACAGAACTCATATCTGTCAGAAGACTACACTGACAAAATCTAAATCAACATCCAGTTAAAGGTTTCTTAAAATTCCCAGAAAGATTCCTCATGTACTCAACCGCTTCTGCAATTTATAAGGGCTGTGTGCCCTTAGTAATCCCTTAGCATCTGCTCAAATATTAAAGAATTCAAACTCCACCACAATGAAGTGTTTGGCAAATGGAATATACTCAAATCATAGGGTATTGAGGACTGAGAGACACAGAATCAGAAAAGTCATTTCCAAGAGCAGCATGGAAACAATGCTACTTCCTGCATCTCCTGGTTCTATGCTAGAACTGTATTAGAAACACACTACTTGCTGGAGGACCCATAGCTAGATATCCTCAATTTAAGCAACAAAACTAGGGGCTTGTACCTTAGGAAAGCCATCACTTAAAAGTCACTGTACCAATTATAGCTCAAGTTATAAATGCTAATAGTTTAATGTTTGAGAATTCCTTTTTTCTAAATTTGGACAAATACTATTTAAATATAATAACAGCTTTCCCAGGTGGCTAGTGAAGATGGCGAGGTGCAGGTCCTGGTGCTCAATGGTCGAAGCCATCTCCTGGGCCACCTGGAGGCCATCATGGCTAAGCAGATACTGCTGGGCAGGAAGGTGGTGGTCGTACGCTGTGAGGGCATCAACATTTCTAGCAATTTCTACAGAAATGAGTTGAAGTATCTGGCTTTCCTCTGCAAGCAGACGAACACCAACCCTTCCCAAGGCCCCTACCACTTCCAGGCCCCTAGCTGCATATTCTGGCGAACAGTGCAAGGCATGCTTTCCCACAAGACCAAGTGAGGCCAGGCCACCCTGGACCGCCTTAAGGTGTTTGATGGCATCCCACTGCCCTACGACAAGAAAAAGCAGATGGTGGTTCCTGCTGCCCTCAAGGTTGTGCATCTGAAGCCTACAAGAAAGTTTGCCTGTCTGGGGCAGCAGGCTCACGAGGTTGGCTGGAAGTACCAGGCAGTGACAGCCCCGCTGGAGGAGAAGAGAAAGGAGAAGGCCAAGATCCATTACCAGAAGAAGAAACAGCTCATGAGGCTACAGAAACAGGCCGAGAAGAACGTGAAGAAGAAAAGTGACAAACACACAGAGGTCCTCAAAACCCATGGAGTCCTGGTCTGAGCCCAATAAAGACTGTTAATTCCTCAAATAAATAAATTAAATAGATCAATAAATAAATATAATGACAAAAGGAACAACAAAATACTTTGTACATCTTGGGGTATGGTTGGCTTTTGACATCTGAAGATGGAAATGGTCATATGCTATGGGAAGATAGCAATATTTGGCTTTAATGCTAAAGACACAATAAAGCTGTAATAGTAAGTACTAGTGAGCCAGTACACACTGAAGATACACACAGCTCTCTACTCCTAACCAGGGCTAATTAAACCAAGGGACTGATAGACATTTAATAGCATATCTCTAAGAAATTTTAAATATTCAGTCAATTGTGGCATAAAAATGTCCCTAAGCATAGCAATAATCAGAAAATACAATCACAGCTAACAACTCAAAGGTATAAAGTATTACTCACATATCCACACCAGTAGAATGCAAAGGACTGTGCCAGTTGACTGGAAGAAATTCTACCCTCCCAATCTGCTGATTTTCTTGGGCTTTCTTAAAATGTGTCTGTAGCAAGTTCAAGGAAACACTGCGAAAATCATTAACTGGAAAAAAAATTAACTTATGCATCAACAGTGCAGCAACAAATCTGTAGAATTAGGATGCAACAAATCATGTAATTATACTCTAACTATATTTGCATAGAACACATATTAACTTCCATCAAAAATAAAGTGGTATTCAGGAAAAATTATAAATGCATACAGGAAAAGATGTTTCTTTAACAACTTTTTTTTTATTGAGATGGAGTACTGCTCTCTCACCCATGCTGGAGTGCAGTGGCGAGATATCGCCTCACTGCGGCCTCCACTTCCCAAGTTTGAGCAATTCTCCTGCCTCAGCCTCCAGAGTAGCTGGGATTGCAGGTGCATGCCACCACGCCCAGCTAATTTTTTTATTTTTAGTAGAAATGGGGTTTTGCCATATTGGCCAAGCTGGTCTTGAACTCCTGACCTCAGGTGATCTGCCGCGGCATCCCAAAGTGCTGGGGTTACAGGCGTGAGCCACTGTGTCCTGTCTAACTACTCGCTTTTGCCACATAAAATACTTCATCAAAAGAAGGCTAACTTCAGGCTGGGAGGAGTGGCTCATGCCTTGTAATCCCAGCACTTCGGGAGGCCGAGGTGGGCAGATCAATTGAGGCCAGGAGTTCGAGACCAGCCTGGCTAACACGGCAAAACCCTCATCTACTAAACATAAAAAAATTAGCTAGGCATGGTGGCAGGCACCTGTAATCGCAGCTACTTGGGAAACTGAGGCAGGAGAACTGCTTGAACCCGGGAGGGAGACGTTGCAGTGAGCTGAGATTATGCCACTACACTCCAGCCTGGGTGACAGAGCAAGACCTCAAAAAAAAAAAAAAAAAAAAAAAAAAAAAAAAAAAAGGCGGCTAGCTTCAAAACATCAGCATCATGGGAATGGTTTCAATTTTTTTTTAATCACATGACAATACATCAACAGTCTTGCAGCTGAATTCCTATCCTGACTTTCTGGTTCTTATGAATAAGCACCACCCAATACTTTAAAGAAAAAAAATACACTGCTGTTTGAAATTCATATCACATCAATTTCAACCTTCCACAATACTAGTTTATGTTTAGAACCATTAGCCAGTAGAATAAGACACTCTAATTGGAACAATTAAACTTTGAATACTATCAGGTTTTAGAGGACAACTTTCAAAATCTAGCTATACTGATGACTTAAACCCAACTGCAGTATCAAGAGGTTTATCACGGTATGAATTACAAAATGATTGAAGCTTCTATTATTTATTAAATTCTATCATCTTTATGGTTCTCTGTAAACTTGAAATAGGTAGAAATAGGACCATCATATAATAAAACAACTTTATAGGGATTAAGTGCTTGTTCATTCAAGAATATTATATAGTTAAGAGTATAAACTATTAGCCTTAGGAATTTCCTAGCACCTCAGGTCTAAGCTGAGAAGCTTTACTACCTTGCCAACTGTCTTTAACTCTCCAAATCTTCTTATGCAGCTAAGACAATAGATCAAAGACAAGGCTTTATCTCAGCTCATAAGAGCAAGGATTAAATTCTCCTTAAATGATCTAATCTCGCATGCTTTGCAAACCTACCACACTGTACAATGCTTCGGAAACGGAGATCACAAGCTGGTCCAATTCCATGGACTACAAAAACCAAGTGATCTATTTGTAAAGGTTCTCCTATAAATGAAATTAAAAAGAAAATTATTCTGTATAGTCATGTATTCTAGTATCATTCACTATGAAAAGGTTATAAATATGAGCAAGTTAAAATATGAACAGGTAATTTAAAAGATACAAAATAGCCCTTTAAGTACTTAGCAAAAATACACTGATTTTACTTGGTTTCTAATGTATCTTGAAATAAGTCTGTAAAATTTTTTTCAGGTTTTTTTCTTTTTTCTGATCTCTGAAAAAGAAACTAATTTCTTTTTCAGGTTTTAAAAACTTTTTTTTATTTTTTAAGAAAGGATCTCACTCTGTTGCCCAGGCTGGAGTGCAGTGGTGCGATCACCACTCACTGCAGCCTCAAACTTGTGGGTTTCAAGTGATCCCCTGCTTCAACCTCCCAAGTAGATGAGACTACAGATGTGTGCTATCATGCCCAGTTAATTTTTGTATTTTTTTGTAGAGACAGGGTTTCTTTTTTTTTTTTTTTTCTTGCATGTCACATGGCAGAGACGGGGTTTCACCATATCACCCAGGCTGTTCTCGAACTCCTGGGCTCAGGTGATCCTTCCACCCTGGCCTCCCCAACTGCTGGGATTATAGGCATGAGCCGCCATGCCCAGACAGGTTTGTAAAAGTTTTTTTTAGGCCAGGTGCAGTGGCTCACACCTGTAATCCCAGCACTTTGGGAGGCCAAGGCTGGCAAATCACGAGGTCAGGAGTTCGAGACCAGGCTGGCCAATATAGTGAAGCCCTGTCTTTACTAAAATTACAAAAATTAGCTGGGTGTGGTGGCAGGCATCTGTAATCCCAGCTACTTGGGAGGTTGAGACGGGAGAATCGCTTGAACCTGGGAGGCAGAGGTTGCAGTGAGCTGAGATCGTGCCACTGCACTCCAGCCTGGGTGACAATGCAAGATTCCATCTCAAAAATAAATAAATAAATGAAAACAAAAAGAACTTTTTATTTTTGAATAACTGCAAATGTATAGAAAACTAGAAAGCATAGTATAGACACTCCCAAGTACTTTTTTACAGAGATTCACCTTTTAAACAATTACATTTGCTTTATGATTCTCTGTGTGTGTACACACACATTTATTTTTTTCAATCATTAGAGAGTAGACTACATACATCATCAGGTTGCATACACCACACCTCTTTAACCCTTTAATATTAATCGTAATGTATATTTCCTAAGTGTATTCTCTTACATAACCACAGTACAGTTATTGAATCCTGGCAACTGAACACCGATAAAATACTTTTATATAATATTTCACTTTTATCAATGTCTGATGTTTTTAAAGCCTGGAATTTTTTATACATATACACACACACACACACACAGACACACACATTTTTTTTTTTTTAATTGCACTTTAGGTTCTGGGGTACATGTGCAGAACATTAAAGCCTGAAATTTTATTTTATTTATTTATTTTTTTAAAGACGGTGTTTCACCATGTTGGTCAGGCCGGTCTTGAACTCCTGACCTCAGGTGATCCGCCCGCCTTGGCCTCCAAAGTGCTTGGATTACAGGCGTGAGCCACCATGCCCAGCCCAAGCCTGAAATTTTAAACTCTTTTTTTTTTTTTTTTGAGATAGAGTCTCTCTCTGTCCCCAGGTGGCCAGGCTGGAGTGGGAGTGCAAGTGGCGCAATCTCGACTCACTGCAACCTCCACCTCCCGGGTTCAAGTGATTCTCCTGCCTCAGCCTCCTGAGAAGCTGGGACTACAGGCACGTGCCACCACGCCCAGCTGATTTTTGCATTTTTAGTAGAGACAGGGTTTCACCATGTTGGCCAGGATGGTCTTGATCTCTTGACCTCGTGATCCACCCACCTCAGCCTCCCAAAGTGCTAGAATTACAGGCACAAGTCACCTCGACCGGCCTAAACTCATCTTTTTAAATTACAGTAAAGCTACAATTTTGTCTAAGAGACTAGTCATCTCCTCTGCGCAAAAAAAAAAAAAAAAAGGAATTTTATAATTCAATTAAATATATTATAAAACCATAAATGATTCCACCTAGATGGCAGTGGACAATCAGGTCCTACTGAAAAATAGTTTTCCTTAGCTGAAAATCTTCAAGGACAAGGAGTTACCAGAAATAAATTTCGAGTCAAGTAAGTGGAATCACACTTCTTGGAATTAGGACTAAATCAGTTCATCTGTACTTAGTGACTTCCTGGGTAGTATTGCCAAATTTTACCCATCCTACCATATGTACTTAGCAGCTTTGAAAGAGATTTTTACATCTATTATGATTCTTAGTAAATGAAGTGATACTAATCTCAACTTGGAATAAACCCATATGATTAAAGATTATTTTTAAGCCTTGAGGTAATCTAAATCCACAGAAAAGCATCACAATTTAAGGAGTGAACAAATATATCAGAAGATAAGAAAAAAATAAATGATTAACATTACCACAATGAATGTCAACAGAGATGTTCTCAACTCCTCTCTTCACAGTTCTTGGTCGACCCTGCTCTGTGGGCGTTGAACCCCATTCATCAGACCCTGCAACTGGCTGGTAATGCACCATAAGCTTAAACAGAACAGATCAGAGCAATAAAGATATTCTACAATACAGTCATCCCTACACAATGCATTTTAAAGTGTAGAATAATGTCTTTCATACAGTCAAATCTGAACTGGAGTTTTGATATATACAACTCATACAGCTTGAAATTCAAACCCTGAAAATATATTAGGCTAACAGATCTGTCAATAATACCCTTCTACATAGAAGACACGCTCACATAATACGTCAGTGATTTTCTTATTCTACAGTGGCATAATTTCCCTAAGAAAATTATTTTGTATAAGCTGAGTTGGGTAAATAACAGTAGTGGCTACTAGTTTTTAAGCTTCATAACTGTGAATTCAATATAAAATTTGACGAATGTTATCTGACATAGAGTGCTTAGCAAAATAAATCAATTTAGTTCTCCCTAATAGTGCAATTAACTTTGTATCCCAACAAAAGAAATGCTTTGTTTTACCTTTGGATTGTGTAAAATAATAATTTCTCTGTTGGGAGATTCCAGTTTCTTTTTCCATTCATCCAAAGTTACAGCAAGCATGTAAGTTTCCTTAAAAGAAAACACATTTCATTAGAGTTCTCTAATAATCTTCCTATTAAAACCAAACTTATTCACAAGACTACTAATTTATTAACAAGTTTCAATAAGAATATCCTACTCCCATTTATCAAGTTTATTTTTAAATTCTTTTGAATTTACAACTGATAGTAGCACCGGGACAAAGGAAAAAAAAAAAAAACACTCCTAACTCCATCATCTACACTAGATAATTACTGTTCCCATTTTAATACATTTGTTAATATTAGTGTTCTAGATTGGGCGTGGTTGCTCATGCCTGTAATCCCAACACTTTGGGAGGTCAAGGTGGGAGGATCACCTGAGGTCAGGCATTTGAGACCGGCCTGGCCAACATGGCAAAACTCCATCTCTACTAAAAATATAAAAATTAGCCAGTGAGGTGGGGTGTGCCTGTAATTCCAGCTACTTGGGGGGTGAGGCAGGAAAACTGCTTGAACCCAGGAGGCAGAGGTTACAGTGTGCAGAGATCACACCACTGGACTCCAGCCTTGGCAACAGAATAAGACTCTGTCTCAAAAAAAAAAAAAAAGAAAGCAAATATTAATGTTCTTTTTTTTTTTTTTTCTTTTTTTGAGTCGGAGTTTCGCTCTTGTTGCCCAGGCTGGAGTGCAATGGCGCAATCTCGGCTCACCGCAACCTCCGCCTCCTGGGTTCAGGCAATTCTCCTGCCTCAGCCTCCCGAGTAGCTGGGATTACAGGCACGCGCCACCATGCCCAGCTAATTTTTTGTATTTTTAGTAGAGACGGGGTTTCACCATTTTGACCAGGATGGTCTCGATCTCTTGACCTCGTGATCCACCCGCCTCGGCCTCCCAAAGTGCTGGGATTACAGGCGTGAGCCACCGCGCCCGGCTGCAAATATTAATGTTCTACTCCAATTTAAAAGAAAAATTTCAGTTTTCAGAGCAAGAAAAATAAAAGCTAAAAAAGATCAATCCTGTGACCATAGTTTAAATATTAACGATGGATATTAGGGAAAAATATTAAAATTTAAATAAAAGGCATAATATAGTTTGCATTTTGTGCTTGTGTGTGTGTATGTGTGCACATTTTTTTTTTTTTGTAGTGGTGGAATCTTGCTTTGTTGCCCAGTGTTCTCATACTCCTGGGTTCAAGTGATCCTCCTGCCTCGGCCTCCCAAAGTGCTGGGATTACAGGCGAGAGCCACTGTGCCCGCCAATATTTTTATTTTTTTTAACTCCTTAAAACACCACAATCATTTCCGTCGTATTTTAAAATCTGAAAAAGGCCAGGCATGGTGGCTCATGCCTGTAATCCCAGCACTTTGGGAGGCAGAGGCCGGTAGATCATTTGAGGTCCAGAGATTGAGACCAGCCTAGCCAACCTGGTGAAACCCCATCTCTAATAAAAATACAAAACAAACTAGCCAGGTGTGGTGGCAGGCACCTACAATCCCAGCTACTTGGGAGGCTGAGGCAAGAGAATCACTTGAATCCGGGAGGCAGAGGTTGCAGTGAGCCAAGATCACGCCATTGCACTCCAGCCTGGGCAACAGAGCAAGACTCCATCTCAAAAAACAAAACAAAACAAAATCTGAAAATAAGACTACTTTATTCTGAAACTTGCTTGTAAATAGAAATGCTTTATTATATTTTATAACGTGATGCAGACAGAACCAAAAGCTTTCTAGAAATTTCACAAAATAAGTTACAAGAGAAAAGATTATTAAATAAGAGAAGGAAAAAAATGATGAGTAAAAAAAGAGTCAAAGGAATACCTCTAAAACTTGGCTGAAGCTCTCCGAGTAGGGAACATACTTATTGTCTTTGTCCCCCTTGTAAAACCATGTACATCGTCTCACTTCCGACGCCAGTTCATCCCAGTATACGGCATACCGCATCCTCTCCCCTAAATGAACATCATATCTGCCCCCATCAGTAGGAACAATTCTCCCATTACAATCTTTTCCTATTAAGGATTGAAAAGAGGAAAAGAAGTCCATATTTCAAAATAAATCTCCTCACATACAATTCTGAGTTATACTCTAAATAATGTTATAAAACACATGAATGAACAGTTTCTACCAAACAAAATAAAATTTAATTCTTATCTTTTTCACTACCTACTTTACAAACCATTAAAATCATTCCTGATTTTAATGAAACATGAAAAAAGTACTTCTTTTTCTGAGTAAAGACAGCAGTGTCCCTTAAAAAAAAATGTATATAATGTGAATTTTCTGAATTTTTTTGCTTGAGGAATCATAAGGTAAATTAATAACCATCATGATGATTCACAATAACTAGAATTATGCTTGTTTTATAAAAGTGACAAGTTAGAGAGTTCATTCCTCTGCACTGTGATCCCCCGGCCCCCCATCCACAATATACACATTCTTTTTTTCTTTTGAGACAAGTCTCACTGTGTCACCCAGGCTGGAGTGCAGTGGCACAATCTTGGCTCACAGCAACCTCCACTTCCTGGGTTCAAGCGATTCTTCTGTCTCAGCCTCCCATGCAGCTGAGACTATTGGCATCTACCACCACACCTGGCCAATTTTTGTATTTTCAGTAGAGAAGGGGTTTCACCATGTTGGCCAGGTTGTTCTAGAACTTCTGACCTCAAGTGATCTGCCCGCCTTGGCCTCCCAAAGTGCTGGGATTACAGGCGTGAGCTACTATGCCCAGCCTTACACATTCTTGTTTTTTTTTTTTTTTTTTGAGACGGAGTTTCGCTCTTGTTACCCAGGCTGGAGTGCAATGGCATGATCTCAGCTCACCGCAACCTCCGCCTCCTGGGTTCAGGCAATTCTCCTGCCTCAGCTTCCTGAGTAGCTGGGACTACAAGCACGCACCACCATGCCCAGCTGATTTTTTGTATTTTTAGTAGAGACGGGGTTTCACCATGTTGACCAGGATGGTCTCGATCTCTTGACCTCGTGATCCACCCGCCTCGGCCTCCCAAAGTACTGGGATTACAGGCGTGAGCCACCGCGCCCGGCCCCTTACACATTCTTAATAAAATAATGTAAAACATAAGTTAAAACATTAAAGATATTATTATTGGGGGGCCAGGAACAGGGTGTAACACGCTTGCAATCCCAGCACTTTGGAGACCCAGGCAGAAGGACTGCTTGAGCCTAGGAGTTCAGGTCCAGCCTGGACAATATAATTAGATGGCCACCTCTAAGAAAAAAAAAATTATTGGGTAACTATGCAGAAATAATAGTAGATACTGTTTTCAAAATACAGACCGAATTCTTGAATATTATTGATTGGCTAGGTACTAGTACAGAAGTTCTATATAAAATGCTGTAAGAAATTATTTAACTAGAAAAATCTAAAATTTAGTTTTCACAGTACTCAATATAAGGACCATTATATTACAGTTTGAAGAGAGAAAAGTCTTTGTCTATTTCAAGTCATAATTTTCACCTACCAGAGCTATACGCCTCTTCTAGCTGCTGTGAATCCTCAGAGTTGAAAGGAATCCATGTCTCCTTAGAATCTATTATCTTACAATAAAACCAATGGGGAGAAACTGGTTCATACAAGCTGCCAGCATCCATGTCTATTAGCTCAAAGGAACTACATGAGTTTGGTGATGGGGATGGATCTGACTGGGACAACTGCTCCTGTTGTGATTGCACTGATGACATTTCGCTCTCTAAAGACAAAAGAAAACTATCAGGAAAATGATCTTCTCTTAACGGTGTAACTGTTGACACACACACACACACACACACGCACAAAACTAATCATTTTATGGAGCCATTTCTGCAACAACAACAAAAATCTACATAATTTAAAAGAGAAATAACATAATTTAACAGCTGGATGGGTAGGAGCTTTAAATAAAATGCTTCCATTAGATCAACCACTGCGCGAGTTCCCAATTCTGTCGGAAAACTATGATTTTACTCTGTCTATAAGTTATAAAACAAACCCAGAATCACAGGACTCCCTGCTAGAAACTTGACGGCAACAAAAACATTTCACCCCAATTTCCAATCTAAATGTAGTTAAAGGCAGAAAATTTACTCCAACGAAGTCAGCTGGGTCATGCCCTGTTCTAATAACGCCTGGGTTTTGGCCTCCAGGCCCCTATCATTATACGACTAATGGAATCTTAAAATACAGAAAATAAAACTCATTACTTAGGAACCAATTATTTTTGACTGATGCTTGAAGTCGCTTAATGGGCGGTGGTACAAATTCCGAAAAGACGAAACCTCGCCCCGGGCCACGGCGCGCACGCGCACGCCCACTTGCATCGCCCGAGTCTCAGGTGAAAGGTAACAAGCGACCTCAAAAGCCTCCTCCCGCGGAGGCGGCTGTGACCAGCTGTTTCCGCATCTCCAACACCCCTTCCACTCGGCAATGACCAGCGCCGCAGGCACCAGAAGGACACTTCTAAGCTGCCCCGTGGGGCGGGAGTCAGGAGGGCATCTCACGCGGGCCCGAGGGACTGGGGACTGCAGACACCGGCGTTCGGCCCCACTGTCCAGTCCCACCCACCCCCCCCCCCCCCCCCCAGCCGTCCGGCACCTTGGCGCCTCCCTGACCCTCGTGACCCTAGGCCCTGGCGTACCGCTCCAAGTCCTCGGAGCTCCGGCTCAGGTCGCCCGCCCGCCCGCAGCCCCGCGACAGCAGCAGGGACGCCAATGCAGACCACAGGGTTCACAGGGTTTCCCCAGGCTCGGGGCTTCCCGGGAGCCGGGTCCCCCCGCCCCGCAGCGCTGGCACCAGGCCGGGCCTCCCTCGGCCCAGCCGCCCGCCGGACGCGGACTCACCTGGCGGCCCAGCCGCTCCTTACGCCCTCCTGCCCTCGCTGAAGGAGGCACGGCATGGCCCGGCCGCGGCCTTTACCCAAGCCCGGGCGGGGCGCGGCGGAGCAGGGCGGAGCCTGCGGCCCCGCCGGGCTCGTACAGAACACCCGGCTCCACGGCGCTCCCAGCTGACGAGTAGCGGGCCCGACTGCTGGGCGAAAAGGTAAGGCAGCTGGGAGCGTGGCGCGCGAGCGCGGGTCGGATGCGCAGGGCCTCAGGGCACTGGCAGCAAGTGTCGCGAGAGGTGCAGGGGAGTCGCGCGAGACGTGGCTCCTCCTGCGGGCAGGGAAGTCCAGTGCCGGACGGCTGGCGGCGGGCCCTCACTTAGAGGGGGTGGCTGAGTTCTAACCGCGTGGGAGAGTTTTGAGTGTCTGCTGTAGAAGGGGCTTCGAGATCAGTTTCGAGTGTCCGTGGCGGAAGGGGCTTGGAAGCAGCCGGTCACGTATGGGGCGGGAAAGTCGAGCTGATCCTCTGGATACGCTGCAGACCCTACTAGTGCGCCACGGGTGGCGCGGCGATGCCGCGGCGCTAGGAGCAGCCGCCCAGCTCCCTGCCTCCATTTCTGGGTGCTGAGGACCAGGTGTCACTGGCGTTTGCCAGGAAAAAAGGCTTTGGCCCCTCCTCCGTGCATTTATTATGATTTATAGGTTACCAAAAAGGTATCCCTAAAAAATGTAGAGGTACCGGGCCTGGTGTCAGCTCCTTGCTCTGAGCTACTTAGGAGGCTGAGGCCGGAGGATCGCTCGAGCAGGTTGGTGGAGGCTGCATGAGCCCAGGTGGCACCACTGCATTCCAGCCTGGGTAACACTTCAACACTCGTCTCTAAACAAACAAACAAAATAATTTTTTTTCTTTCTTTTTTTCATGTAGAGGCGAACTTAACAGGATTTAAAAGATGCCAGGAAGTTGGGAGGCGAGGTATTGTTGTCCAAACAGGAAGACCTGCACCTAAATAACTGGCCTAAAATCAGTCAGGTAAGTGACAGAACTGGAACTTGAATTTAGGTTCTCTATCTTCAAATCCTGCTGTAGCCTCTATACCAGCTTTGGGGGTATAGAGGCAATTTGGGGGGCTGTCTCAAAAAGTGGATTGCAATGTGTAGTCTGAAAACTAAACTTTTCATATTCTGATACCATTAAAATCCGTTGGTCTGTCTTGCACTCTGTTTTATTATTGGGTTTTGAGTAAAGTGAAAGCAAGTTTATTAAGAAAGTAAAAGAATGGCTATGCCATAGGCAGAGCAGCCTATCTTGCACTTTGAATGCATCTTTTACCCATGTGTGACTTATATTGGTTATTTGGGAAAATATCAAGTTCACTGAGCTATGCAGATTTTCCAAATGTTGATACATTTTATTATACTTTTTTTTTTTTTTTTTTGAGACAACGTCTTGCTCTATCACCCAGACTGGAGTGTAGTGGCATGATCTCAGCTCACTGCAACCTCCACCTCCCGGGTTGAAGCGATTCTCCTGTCTCAGCTTCCCGAGTAGCTGGGATTACAGGTACACACGACCATGCCCAGCTAATTTTTGTATTTTTAGTAGAGATGGGGTTTCACCATGTTGACCAGGCTGGTCTTGAACTCCTGACCTCATGATCCGCCCACCTTGGCCTCCCAATGTGCTTGGATTACAGGTGTGAGCCACCACGCCCAGCCTTATACAATTTTTTTTTTAATTACCAATCTCATCAGAAAAAATCTTTAATATTGGGAAGCTGTCAAGCTCAGAGTAGCAGGTACAAGTTTTCCAATATTCTGCTTTCTTCTTGAAAGATCAAATTGTATCATTGGCAACAAAGGATAAATTGTCTTCCTTGAAGTGACAAGCCTCCTTTGTTTTCAAGTCAAGTTCTGCCAAATACTTACATACAAATACCCATAGTTTGTCCATTGTACTTTCAAATAAAAATGATGGCTGGGCACAGTGGCTCACATCTGTAATCCCAGCACTTTAGGAGGCTGAGGCAGGCGGATCACAAGTTCGAGACCAGCCTGACCAACATGGTGAAACCTTGTCTCTACTAAAAATACAAAAATTAGATGAGCATGGTGGCACGTGCCTGTAATCCCAGCTACTCAGGAGGCTGAGGCAGGAGAATCACTTGAACCCAGGAGGCAGAGGTTACAGTGAGCCGAGGTCGCGCCACTGCACTCCAGCCTGGGCAACAGGGAGACTCCGTCTCAAAAAAAAAAAAAAAAAAGATGTTGCATGCAAAAAGAGCATCTGTTGCAGCCTGCAATTCAAATAATCACTCAAGTTTGTTTTCTGCAAGAGACCACCATCTTACTTTTGGTATTTAACAAAACAAGCCGGGCGCGGTGGCTCACACCTGTAATCCCAGCACTTTAGGAGGCCGAGGCGGGTGGATCAAGAGGTCAAGAGATCGAGACCATCCTGGTCCACATGGTGGAACCCCGTCTCTACTAAAAATACAAAAAATCAGCTGGGCATGGTGGTGCATGCCTGTAATCCCAGCTACTCAGGAAGCTGAGGCAGGAGAATTGCCCGAACCCAGGAGGCGGAGGTTGCAGTGAGCCGAGATCGCGCCATTGCACTCCAGCCTGGGTGACAAGAGCGAAACTCTGTCTCAAAAAAAAATTGGTTTTATGGGCCGCAGTGGTTTATGCCTGTAATCAAGCACTTTGGGAAGTTGAGTTGGGCAGATTGCTAAGTCCAGAAGTTTGAGACCAGTCTGAGCAATATGACGACACCCATCTCGCCCGTCTCTAAAAACAAAAACATTAGCTGAGCATGGTGGTACAGACCTGTAGTCCCAACTACTCAGGATGGGAGAAGAGCTTGAGCCCAGGAAGGGGAGGTTGCAGTGAGCCGTAATCAACATCACTGTACTCCAGGCTGGGCAACAGAGCCAGACCCTGTCTGAAAAACAACAGGTTTTATTCATACTAACCAGTTTGTCACATAGAATATGAAAAAGATGTAAACTAATGAGTTAAGAGTTAACAAGCCAGGCGCTGTGGTGCATGCCTGTAGTCCCAGCTACTTGGGAGGCTGAGGCTGGAGGATCGCTTGAGTCCAGAAATTCTGGGCTGTAGTGTGCTATGCTGATCGGGGTCTGCACTAAGTTCGGCATCAATATGGTGACCTACCAGGAGCAGGGGACCACCAGGTTGCCTAAGGAGGGGTGAACCAGCCCAGGTCAGAAACAGAGCAGGTCAAAACTCCCATGCTAGGCCGGGCGCGGTGGCTCACGCCTGTAATCCCAGCACTTTGGGAGGCCGAGGCGGGTGGATCACGAGGTCAAGAGATCGAGACCATCCTGGTCCACATGGTGAAACCCCGTCTCTACTAAAAATACAAAAAATCGGCTGGGCATGGTGGCACATGCCTGTAATCCCAGCTACTCAGGAGGCTGAGGCAGGAGAATTGCCTGAACCGAGGAGGCGGAGGTTGCGGTGAGCCGAGATTGCGCCATTGCACTCCAGCCTGGGTAACAAGAGTGAAACTCCGTCTCAAAAAAAAAAAAAAAACAAAAAAAACAAAAAACTCCCATGCTGATCAGTAGTGGGATCGCGCCTGTGAATAGCCACTGCACGCCACCCTGGGCAACATAGCGAGACCCCATCTCTTAAAAAAGTTAACAAAAGTAATAATTTTTACTGAAAAAATATGAAGGCTATTCTTAAGCAAAACTGGCACTATTATCATTAATGCATGGCAGTCAAGAATACAGTGACTGACAGTGTAATTTATTTCTACTGCTTTAATTCACGTTAGGATGTCAGCACTCTTAGCATTGCTTTTACGTGAATAGTCCAATGTCAACCCAGAAAAAAAGGCAAATCATGTCTTAGTATTATGATGAAAATATAATACTATATTTCAGGCCAGGCACAGTGGCCCACACCTGTAATCCCAGCACTTTGGGAGGCCGAGGCAGACGGATCACTTGAGGTCAGGAGTCTGAGACCAGCCTAGCCAACATAAGAAAACCCCATCTCTACTAAAAATACAAAAACTAGCTGGACGTGGTGGTGGGCAACTGTAATCCCAGCTACTTCAGAGGCTGTGGCAGAATTGCTTGGAGGCAGAAGTTCTAGTGAGCCAAGATTGCGCCACTGCACATCAGCCTGGGCAACCTCTGCCTCCCAAGTTCAAGTGATTCTCCTGCCTTAACCTCCCCAATAGTTGGGACTAGAAGCACCCACCACCACGCCTGGCTAATTTTTATATTTTTAGTAGAGACAGGGTTTCACTATGTTGGCCAGGCTGGTCTCGAACTCCTGACCTCATGATCCACCCACCTTGGCCTCCCAAAGTGCTGGGATTACAGGCCTGAGCCACCACACCCAGCCATGCCTGGTTAATTTTTAAATTTTTTGTAGAGACAGGGTCTCACTACATTGTACAGTCTGGTCTTAAACTCCTGGACTCAAGTCATCCTCCCACATCAGTCTCCTAAAATGCTGGGATGACAGGCGTAAGCCTCTGTGCCCAGCAGGAATCTGCATTTTAAATAGTTATCCCACATGATCTGGATGCAAGTATTTGGAATCCACATAGTATAAATTTTAGGTGTCCCAATAGTCTGCGTAGATAGGTAGTTTCAGGCAAATAGAATATCTTACTGTGCCCCTTAAAAATAAAAATATGGCCGGGCACAGTGACTCACACCTGTAATCCCAGCACTTTGGGAGGCCAAGATCAGGAGGTCAAGAAATCAAGACCATCCTGGCCAACATGGTGAAACTGCGTCTCTACCAAAAATACAAAAATTAGCTGGGCGTGGTGGCATGTGCCTGTAGTCCCATCTGCTTGGGAGGCTGAGGCGGGAGAATTGCTTGAGCTCAGGAGGCAGAAGTTGCAGTAAGCCAAGATCATGCCAGCCTGGCAACAGAGAGACTCCGTCTCAAAAATAAAAATAATTTTTAAACCCACTTAATTTTACTGGCTATTGTTTGTGGTTGTATATCAGCCTTTTACCAGACAAGCCTTAATGGTAAAATGTAAAACAATCTCTCCTTTTTCCCTTTCAATGTTCTAGTGCAATAGGCAGCAAACTTTTTTTCTGTAAAGGGCCAGATAACTTCTTTAGGTTCTGTAGGTCATAAGGCTCTGTCACAACTAATCACTTCTCTTGTTGCAGCACTAAAGCAACCAGAGAGGAGCTGTAAACTGAGGAATGTGGGTGTGTCCCGGTAAAGTTGTATTTACAAAAGCGGGCAGGGGTTTAATTTCATCTCAGGTAGTAGTTTGCTGACCCCATGCTCCTAGTGCAGAAAATAATGCTAATGGTCAGTAAGTTGTCTAAAGAGCAAAAGCAGAATGTAGGGGTCATAAACAACTGGATCTTATATCCAAAGCTGGAATCATTGTTTTTGGAGGCAGAACTCCTCAATCCCAGATGGACACCTAGGCACCCAGAGTGAAGAAAACTTCACAGTTGTTTCTGATGCTGATTACAAAATAACAAGACCAGGGCTTTGGGCTCTGACAGTTATTTTCAAGCTTTCACCGCTCACGGCAGCTTCGACCTCCCAGGCTCAAATGATCTTGCCACCTCAGCCTTCCAAGTAGCTGAGACCACAGGTGTCCACCACCATATCCAGCGAATTTTTTTTTATTTTATTTGTAGAGACAGGGTCTTCCTATGTTGCCCAGGCTGGTCTCCAACTCCTGGGCTCAAGCGATCCTCCCACTTTGGCCTCCCAAAGTGCTGGGATTACAGGCATGAGCCACCATGCCCAGCCCTAAATAGGTTCTTAAAATGTAGATTTTCAGGTACAACACCATCTGAAATGTAGATTCAAAAAAGTAAATTAAAACATTTTCAGAATCCAACAGGATTCTGATTGACTAGAACATTTAATCAGAAGCGTCCATATTGTGATAGTTAATTTTAGATGTCAGCTTGACTAGATTTAGGAATACCTAGAGAACTGGTAAAACATTACTTCTGGGCATGTCTGTGATGGTATTTCCAGAAGAGACCTCTCTGAGGGGGCAGAAGATGTGAAGATAAATGTGTCCCATGTGAATCCTCCCCAAAGGGTGACCTCAGCAGAAGAGGACTTTAATAACCAAGTAGAAAGGATGACCTATTCTGTGGATACTAGTCAGCCTCTGGCCCCTGCCACCCCTGTCGTTGCCCAGTCACCCATCATTGCTCATGAAGAAATTGGCCATGGCAGCAG